GTGTGTGTGTGTGTGTGCACGGTTGCTGTGAGGACGCTCATGCCTCATCCCAAGTGTGTGAAAAACAGGGTAAAAAGGGGTTAAAGGTAGACTGATAGGGGGACAGAATAGAAAGAGAGACAGAACGAGAGAGTAATTTAGAGCAAAAGACGTAAAAAGAGAGAGAAAAGTAAAAGAACCAGCAACTAAGAGGGACTACATGTATATCTGATGCTGTGCCAGAAATGAAAGTACTTTAAGTGGGCCGCCGTGATAAAAGTGTCGGTAGAGCTAAAAGGTTGCTGCTGTGCTCAGCTACTTGTTTTCTTCTCTCTCTCGAAGCAAATACTCATCTTCTCTTGCTGTTGTTGTCTTTGATAAAGACTAGTTGGGGATGAAGAAATGACGCCAGTCACACGGTCTCTCTCCATGTAATTAAAATGTCTATTTTATCAACATAAATCAGCTATGCTCTCATCTACACAGTTCAGTAAACGCGCAGCCAAAATATCTTGGCAAAATAAAGCGTTTTAATTACATGGCAGTCAGCATGAGCTTGTCAGATTTTTTTATCTGACTTTATTTTCCAACAGCTCTGTAGACTTGTTCAACCTTGATAACACGGTCTGCATGTGTAATCTTATATTTTCTGTAATGCGCACCAATTTTCAACGCAGCTAGTAGTAAGATATTTTTCACTGAACATAGTGCTTATAATATTGTTATGTAATGTTTTGCTCCCAACTAGACCAGCCAAGTCAGTCACTGCAAACAATGCTTAGAGGTTATTTTCACCTGTATCTAATCCCAAACAGGCAGTTTTTAACCCACCAGGACTGTTCAGGTGATGTCCTGTTACTCCTGTTGGGAAGCATCACATGCGCGAAACATCAAAAGCTTATTTTGTGCCCTGTGACAACCCACAGAGAACACAACTGAGTATGTGTAGGTGGAGAGAGCAATAACAACTGTAACTCCAGCTGTCATGAGAGCAAAACTCTTTCCAGTAGGCTTGTTTCTAGTGCGAAATTGCTATTTTTACAATTTCTTCTATTGCTGTTGAACATCATTGCATAATGTTAAGTGTAGAGAGACCTAAGTTTTCAGTGGCTTATACCAAAACCTGAAATTTATCAAAAATAATTCAGGAGCAATAATTCATTTAATGTCAAGATGGACACCCCTAAAAAAATAGTATGTGTAATTAATATATATATATTAATATATATATATATACATATATATATATCAACACAATATCTGTAGTAAAAAAAAAATAATATTTCAGATATCAGATTTGTACAGTTAAACCCCTTTGCGGGCTTGTGTAAATATTTTACATCTGTTGTTTCTGCAGTCGCAGCTCATACAGAACTGGTCAGGACATTAACAACTGCCCCACCTGCCAAAAGACAGCCTGCATCATCTACAGGTAACCTGATCAAGATAATGAGCTTACTGCATTACATAAGTGACAACTCATTCTTTCCTGGAGCGTAATAAACAGCCCAGAGACATCTCCTAGAAAACAGTATGCCTTTGGTAGCCTTGAAAATTTTTTATCCCATTGTTTTTTTAGCTTTCCCAGGTTTTTATCACTTATTCAGCACATCTTTCTTTATTGTTTTATTTTTCATTAGCCTTTCTTCCTGGTATCCTGCTGTCTCTGCCCTTTTCTCCGAGTCTGATAATTGCACTTTTCATACAATATATCCTTATTATATGAAAAATGTGAGACTACAAGTGATGCACCTCATCAATATTGAAATGAATACTCACTGTATTCTAGAGATGAGAAGAGGATGCTCTCTCCAAGACAGTTATTTACGCACAAAAGAGTATTCTGTGCAAACAAGCAAATTAATTTAGTACTTAAATGATGTGTCTTTTCTGTTTCAGTCGTCCCTTGTGTGTGTGACCTCAATAAGTAATTGCATTCTTAGATCTTCTATAGCTTTCGGAGCTGCACCCTCACAATCTGATACCACATACTGTAGTTTAATCCTCCCATCACCTTCATCCCATCCTTCTCTAATTCTTTTCATTATGTAGATCATTCCATCTTTTTTTAATTCTATGCCAGCTCAATCTCCCTCTTTCTCTAACTTTTAATCAAACTGGTTTCCTCTATACATCCTTACCTCATTCCATCTGTCAATTGGCAAAGCTATAATCACCTGTGCCCCACTCCCACCCAACCTCCAAGGTTCTTTCTCTGCACTGTGCACACATAAGCTGGAAATGTAGGTTTTCACATATGCAGTAGCTTAATTGAGAACACAGAAACAGAACAGAAAAATATTTACTTGCTTTAACTGTAATAATCTGGCATCTAAACCTCTGTTTAGTCCAAAACTTTTTGTGTGCATGTATCAGACCAAAGCTAGGCCTGAAGCTAACTCTGCTTGTTTGCAATCACATATAAACCAGCCTTGCAGACCACAAGGGATAAAGACACATTTTACAGGGCCTGTATCTCTCCAGCTCTGCCTGATTCACAAAAACACTCGCCTCCCAGCAGCCCCGAATCTGCATCCCTCTTGTTTTTTTAACTTTCTATTCCTCTGTTGATACATCCAGCTCCTTCTTCCTCCTCATCCGATTCTCTCCTCCCCTTAATATTAATTAACAGGATCCTTAGCCCAGTAAGTCATAATGAACCCCAAGGGGAAAGAACTACCACATGGTAACATATTCATCCACCCATATATCCATACTGATATACACAGATGTGAACGAAAACACTTCTTCCTTCACTCTGCACAGAGTCATATGCAAGCACATCAACAAAGTTGAAGACAAGGAAGCACAAACTGAACACATTTGGTCACACACAAAATACACAGCTAGCTAGAGCTGACATGATTAGTCGATTAATCTGTCAACAGGGAATAAATTGGCAACAATTTTGATTGATTTTGATCATTCAAGTAATTTTTTTAAACAGAAATGCTACAGATTCTCTGGTTCCCACCTGTCAAATGTGAGGATATGTTTCTTTTCTCTATTTTATACCTTTGTAAACTGAATATTTTTAGGACTGTTTAAACTTGTCAACTTTGGCAATAACAACATAAACAACAAATGGAAATTAGTTTACATAACCATTCACTTAAGCAGAAGAACGCAACTGCAATTTTAAATGATTATTTTTAAATTAATCTGCTCTTCCACTGGAACTAAGTTCTAAAAAAGCAACAAAAAACCAACAAAAAAAGCTTCCAAAACGAAAATCTAACATTCAAAACGTGTGTTTGTACAGATTAGCAGTCTACGATATTGGACAAGACAAAATGTATGTTTACAGGACATAAAGTACTATTATTTTCTATTTATGTAACTCTTCTTTCTTTTTATAAATAAACCTACTCTGTAATCTAAGAGTGAGCATGCAGTGCAAAGAAACCTGTCATTAACACATGAGAACATCTAACAACAGTAATTAAGACATTACAATACTTTTAAAGACCTTGAATTTAGATATCCTCAGACATTTTGAGGACTTTTTTATGGGCCTGAGGCTATGCTGATCTCAGGAGTACATTGCTACTTCTCACATCATTATCATGTACCCTTTTCACTCAGTTTCAGAGATTTTCTTTCCCGCTCCACTTTCCCTTTGTTTTTCTTGCACACATGCAAATATAATCATGTATCCACAACAAGAATGGCTTTTTCCGGCTTTTATTAGATACGTCTGTGCACACATTTCATATGCATACTTTCATGCACACACTCATACATACCAACAAACAAAGGAATGAATATATTTCACGCTATGTGATAGATGTTAATGAGTCTGCTTAATGAATCTGCTGCTTAATCACTTTCCTACTCACATATCAGTGTAAGTTTCTTTTTACACACACTACATTTTCAGTCACCCATTTGGACAAACTCACATAAAAGTCAGAAGTACAAGAGCTCTGTTTGGTTGATTGGACAGCAACATCCTTATCAGACCCTCAGAGAGGATTCTGGGTAAGGACGATGGCAGATAGGGAAAGAGAGACACACAAGCAGAGGATAAATTACGCGTAGGACTGAAACATCCATCCTAATGATTTGTGGTGAAAAAAGGGGTTTTGATGTGGGCTGGCCGCCTGAAGATGTTTTGCCATTGTCAGTCCTAATTAATCTGTATGATGAGACACAAAAGGGAGAGGAACTTTTGACAGCCCCTCTGTTTTTCTCCCAAAGCTTAAACAACTCAAACACATACACACACAGAGATACAGTATATGCAGCCACGTATACACGACCAACACCTAAAGGTATTCTCACACATACACCTAACCAAAAAGATATACAAGTGACATGCAAAACCTAAACCTTAACACTGTCCACTACAGTACATAACTAACCTTCACTTTAACCAAAAAGAGAAGGTTTAAAAATTTAACAGCTTCTCTCAAGAGCGGAGGCAACAATTACACAGTCACGCACATGTTTGCTAAGATGCTGAAGATGACAGCTTGCAGAACTAACTAAAGGCAGCAGCTTTATCCACCGTGCAGTAATCCTATGAACAATGGTGAGACAGAGGCAGATATTGGTAGAGAGGTAGTTAGAAGGATTGAGAGAGGGGGAGGTTGAAACCTAGTGAAGTGTGTGGATAAAGAAAGACCTTACAAAGAAATGTCTTCCATTCTAAGACAAGATATATATACACGTTGTGTGTGTGTGTGTGTGTGTGTGTGTGTGTGTGTGAACAATAGCTAACTGTGTGTATGTGTAGTCATAGTACATGTGCTTTATCATTTATTCATGGCAGCCATCTCCCTTCCTCTGTGCCCACCAGAGCTTTTACTTCCTCTTTTATTTACCTATCCCCTTACTCCCTCCATCTCAGTGCTCTTTCACAGGGAGCTTAGACCTTTCCGCCCTCCTCTCTCCACGTCTCTGGTAGCCCTCATCCTCTCCTCCTTTACCTCCTCCCTCTGCCTTTTTGTTTCCATCCTTTATTCTGCAGTGACCTCTCTGCCCTGTTTCATTAAAGCTTGCCTTTCTTTCATCTATCCATCCCTCCAACTCCCAGAAGAGAGTCAGTGTCTCTCCTTTCATAAGTCCCTGTACAATCCTTTTTCCCCTCACTCAGCCGTGGGCTTGTTGTAGAAGATGCACACGTTGGATGTCAGGGGAGTACATATGTGTTTGTACAGTATATGTGTATGAGTAAGTGTGTGTGTGTTTGTGTTGGGATGTTCGAATAAAGGAGGAGGGGAGGGTGGGTAGTTGTCTTTGCTCTCCTTGCCTCATCATGTGGCTCATTAACTCCAGATGCCAGACCCTATGCAGCTCCACCCTGATAATTCAACTCACACACAAACATATTCTCTCACACACAAAAACACAGTTAGGAGAGAGAAACTCAAAGTATACTACACTATGACCTGCAGCGGTGGACACTTCAGAGACGGTGAGGAAAAAGAGCGTGAGAGAGACGAGAGGGGGGAGGGGAGAATGAGAGAAGCATAGAAAAAGAAAGCCAAGAGGGTCTGCTTTGAACACATCAGAAGAGCAAAAAAAAAGTTTCTCCCTTGCTCCTTCCTTCAGCTCCTCCATTTTGCAAATTCTCCTCTCCTCTTCTTTCCTTTCCTCCCCTCTCCTCTTCTTCCCTGCTCTCTTTTTGATTCTCCTCCCACTTCTCTCATCTCACCAGCCTGTGATCTATTGGTGCATGAAGCGCAGAAGAATACTATGGACGTGAAATGAGTGCTGAGTTGAGACCTGTGTGAAAGTGTGTGTGTGTGTGTATGTGTGCGTGCTGAAGGTGCACATATCTGAGTTAAGAACACAACACGATTTTACATCTCAATATAAAACTGCATTATGCGTAAGTACTACCTCTCTTGAAGGTGTTGTCAGCATTTTGCGACTACATTTGAAAACTCCTTCGCTCACCTTTCTCTCAATCCCTCTCTCTCTCTAATCTCTCTTTGTGCTCAGCAGACCTCCACTTGTCCTCGCATCCCTCTGCTCATCTCTTCTCTCTCTACCTCTCTCTCTGCCCCCACATCTAATCTCTTTTTGTGAAAAATGAGCGATATAAATAAATCTGACTTGATTTGACACTACCTCAACCTCTAAACCGTGCTCCCTCCTTCCTCTTTAACTGCTCTCTCTCTCTCCTCTCCAGTGTGGAGCATGATTTCCGACAGCAGGAGGGACGCTTACAGGGGGTTATGGAGGCCCTGGAGGGGGAGTATGATGTGCCTGCACCCGCTCTGACCAAGCCGACGCTAGCCCCTTCCTCCTCCAGCCGCCCCAGCACTAAGGCCCGTGTCAAGAAACTGCGGAAGAAGTGTTTCTGGTGGCTGTAAGCTTTGGAAAAACCCGCACCAAACTTTTTGGCCATATGATTATGTTTCAGGAGACCCCAAAGTAAGTTTTGGAATAAAGCATCTATCTCGTGGTCCTGTGGGTGCGTTTAAGTGCCATTCAAATCAGTGTGAGCATTTTCCAAGCTGCATTCCTGTAAATGGCACTTTTTCCACCTCAGCTCTGAAAATATACACCAGGGGACCAGGTAATGATCAAGAGAAAGAGGAAATGCACTAAAGGAGGAAAATATGACCAAAGGAGCTGCTGAACTTTCCTCTCAGATCCGTCTAAGAGGGAGATCACCATGACCTCCCCTCTAAGGAAACCAGACTTCAGTGGCTAATTTGTGATTAACTTTTGACAAAAAGTGAGGATATTGTTTTCCCATAACAATTATGTAACGGAGAGATGAAGCATTGACACTTTGGATGACAGACAGGCGTACTGTTTGTCACTTGGCTGTCTAGACAGATGGGCAGATGTATGAATGAATTTTTATGCCAAGATGGATTCACGCCTACAGCTCAGAATGAATCTTCAAAGAAATTTTGGCAATAAGCAGGGAAACCCAAACTATTTTGAAAATCCAAGGAATTTAACAACTAATCGGAATACTGTGTCTTTGGACGGCTTCACGGCCAAAAACTGAATGTAGCAACAACTGAAGAGCTAAGAGCATATGAGTGGAAAACAAGCTGATGAGCTCTCCGGAAACAAAGAGACAGCTCTCTGGATGGATATCAGGGTTTTTGGAGAGCACAGAGGAGATTGTACTAAGAATACATTAGGAGACAATGTGATAGGCAGCTGATCATAGACTGACAGGCCGTGTCAGATAATTAAAAATTCTGTCACTGTTGTCTGACAGAATGATTGATTCTCTCCTTTATTAACATCCAAAATGGAAGTGTTTTGATGTAAGCTCAATCTTGTTTCAAGAATTTTCACACACACACACACACACACACACACGTGCGTACAAATTCATGGCACAACATTACAGACATTGACACACACTCAGCATATTCACTGAAACACAAGTACACACACACACACAGTACATACACTTGTGAACCAATGCAAACTAGGGGTAGACCAATTATCACTTCATAGTTAGTTATTGGCCTGTATTCATGTTTCAAAGACGTATCAATATTTGCTAAGTCTGAACTAATAAGACACCTATTAAAACAAATTGTGCAAACGAATGCTGTGTTTTCATGCAACATATGAAGAGACCAAAACCATCCATTTCATGTGATTCAGCACCCACCAACTGAGTGCATACAGTAGGTTACCTAGTACACAAACACTAACACAAAAAACAAAACATGTCCAATCTTTTTGAGACATTATTCCCAAATGACAAACATCACGCTGTTCACATTAAATATACAGCAGATGATTATTGCCATATCTAGCATCTCTAGCATTCATGCCACAATGCCGTTGCTAGTTGATTCATTAGGCTACAATAGAGCAACAAAAGTTGATGATAAAAACATACACTGCAGGTCTACACATCTCATCAAAATGTACAAAAAAACATCAGATCAAGTTATGCAATCCTATTTAAAAAAAGAATGTCATAACACAATTGATAGAAAAAGATGGTATTTTATAACAAACTATATATTGGCAAACATGTCTTTGATCAAAATTAAATCTATAAAAAATTATGTATCTGTCTATCCCAGTTGCAAACACTCACCTACACCCTTACTTTGGCCACACATAAACACACACCATTTGCACCTGCGTAGTTCACAGCAGTTTGAGCTTAACCACTAATCTCTCAAAGGTCTACTTCAGCTGTTTCTGGGTGACAAGTTGCCACAAATTAGAATCCTGGATGACACCACACTTACTAATTAAGAACACCACTATGTGAGCCCCCACAATGACCCTCTCTTCCTGATCTTCCTCTTCTATGTACAATAAAAGTGTGTATTTTAAACAAAATGTGCTGTTGTTGACATACTTTGTTTCAGAATGAATTTGCATAGCAGATGAGAGCTAATGGAAGGTTGCCTTTCTTACTACTCCACTTTAAACAGAAGACAAACAGATGCATCTGTTTACAGAAAGTCAAGCATATATAGCGCTTGTATGTACTTACAATTAGGGCATGCTCTCGACCCATTGTGATGACTGTCCGGATGATGATCCTCAGGAGAGACACCACAATGTCCTGGATATGTTGAAATGTTTCCCCCTGTGAATAACGGATACAGAGCAAAGAAAAAGAAAGAGAATAGCAGAGAGGGATGGAGAGGAAAATTAGATAAGGAAACAAAAGATTGTACGATTTCCTCAGGTGAAAATACACACAAAAACACACATGGATACAGAACAGAGATTCGTTAGGTTTTGTTTGTGCAGCCGTTCTCCCCTCTCATGAACTCTTCTCACTGTGAAGAAAACAAAGTTTTCACACACAGTCCAAAGCTTCAGTCTGGCTCCAAATGAATGGATGGCAGATCAAATGAAACAAGAAAGAGAATATAGTCTTCTGAAACAGAAACTTTTTAAAATCCGTTCACTTTTGGAAAATAAACCTCACCAGAACATTCGGTTAATCAACTTCAGTGTGGACATTTTAACCACAAAGGCTTTTGACACTTGGATGTGGATTTTTCTGTGCAGACCTGCTTTCCCATTCCTATCTTTTCCCGTGCCCTTTGAAGCTACTGTTCTGGCATGTTTCTTTTCCTCCATCTGCCCAGAGGGAAACAAAGGGGATGATCTAATAGTATGTCTGTATTTGTACTCAGACCTATCCCAAGTCAAATGACTGTTACCTGGTTAAAATATTATAATTATGGTCACACCAGTAGTGCACTTACTGCACCTTACTGCAGCAGCCCAGGTTCGAGTCCAGCCCAGACCCTTTGCTGAATGTCACCCTGCATGACAAATACATTTGACAAGTGTTGTCAGACATTAAGACCAACACGTTAACTGTGGTGGAATGTAAGGAAGTAATAGATTTGTCTGCCATTTCGGTTGTTTCACCTACTGAAAGTGAAAGGAAAATTTAGGCTGTGGATACAATTTTAAACTAAAATTGTCGAGCCTTATAACTACCATAACTGTTTAGTAATAAAGATAAAAAACAGTTTCTTGAACCTAGGAGTATGTGATGTACATAATTCTTTTATCACCATCGTCACTATATACGTAATTTTATAGTATAATAGTATTTTTTTTGTAACTCAATTTAAAACTAGGTGTTAGTTAGCAGTGGTGATGCTGACAAGCATCATATCGTGATATTTTAAATTAATTACCTCAATATCAATATATGATCATATTTGGCGCTTAAGGTAACTCTGTCAAACTATATTTTTTAATCTGAATATGATGACCCAACAAGAATATAAAACGAGAATTCCAGATGATACTAGATCTTTTATCACAATATAAATAATATTTAGATTTATAAACCTGCTGTACTTGAACCTTAAACAACCTTGATATTAATTTAACATTGAACCTGCAGAAACCTGATCAGAGAAGCCTTAAATAAGATAACAAATTTAAAATTTTCAAATAAATACTGAAAATGGCTTTTAATGGCAAAAAGACCAAGAGATCGGGTATAGGTTTGTAAAAAATAAAAAACAAAAGAGAGAAAAGAAGTCATCAATTTGTAAACTTTAAGTTAACAGAAATTAAGACTAACTAATGACAAACATAAAAATAAACAGGGCAAACCCCTTTATCAAAAGTAAGCATGTAAATGTAAAATATGTACCTTTTCAGAGTCATAGCTCCATGCTCATGGGACAAAACACACACACACACACCT